AGGAGATTTCTTGCAAAGGCAGTTCACTAGAGAAGTGAGGTAACAGAGTTATGGTTGAAGTGGTTAATTCTGCCTCTTTCTTTTGCTTTCTACGTTCAAAGTGCTAGTGAACAATAGCATGATAGCAGGTTTGTGGCCAGCTCTTAGCAGCATAGAGATGTGTGTGTGAAGGTGCACTGCTTACACTCTGGAGCCTGAGTCAAAGGCTGCAGTTGTGTGTTAAGTAGGGATGCAGAATAAAGACATAGCGCTTGGTATTTTGCTACAAATAGTGAAGTTTAGAGCATGGTTTTCTAATTATTTCTGCCTTTCTCCCAGGAGAGCATTCAGCAGGGGGGGTTCTGGCAGCAGGAAGAGACAGTGACCCATTGGTGGATGTGCTGGAGCTCTGGCCTCTGGAAAATGAGCTGTTCTGCAGGGAGCCTTCCTTTGGCTTCCCTCCTGGTCCTGCTGCAGCTCCCTTGGGAGTCTGGGGAAGAAAGGAAGTGGGGCATGGGAAGGGGAAAGGGAAGGAAGAGCTGGAAATGGCTTCCTCTTGCTCTGCTGCTGTTTTGCAGACCGACCGCAGGGCGGCAATACGAGACACCCCACGTGGGAGCCGGCAGCCTGGGGAGCGTAGGACAGACAGAACAGGCGGAATCCCCGTGCTGTGCTTGCTGCTGCCCGACTGGCAAGTTGGGACAACCCTCTGCGACAGGACAGCGTTGTGACTGCAGCTGCAGAGAATGGGCACATGAAAAAAAACTTCTAGTAGACGATCTTGCTGAAAATGAGAAAGTGTGTCAGTATTTTTATTAGTATCATAGAATCGTTTGAGTTGGAAGAGACCTTTTAAAGATCGTCTGGTCCAACACCCCTGCAGTGGACAGGGACACTTACAGCCAGATCAGATGCTCAGAGCCCTGTCTGACTTGACTTTGAATGTCTCTAGGGATGGGACATCTGTTACCTCTCTGGGCAACCTGTTTCTGTGCTCTCCCCCACTTCATCTGTAGTGAAGTCATCATGATTTAACACCTGTTTACCTTATTACAGCCATTCTCTTAGCTAGGGAGCCTGTCCACCCACCTCAGTAGCCTTGCAGTGCACTTGGACTCTCAGTTTGACCAACATACTCATAAAGTGTAACTGGTGTTCAGCACTTGTTTGCTGTCTTCTGAGCAGGTTGCTGCTTTTCAGAAACTGTCTACCTGCTGTGTAGATCATTCTATTTTAAGGAAGCTGAAGTAATGGGCAATAGTGTTGCTTGACATCTTGACTATTATGCTTAATTGCTATGTGGGCAGCTGCAGCAATTGGGCTTTTGATATTTTAGTTGCTAGGAAAAGGAGAAGGGAGTGAGGGGGGCAGTAAGCAGGCAGATACTGTTTTTATTTTCTTTCTTTTTTTTTTTGATAAACCCACCTATTCTTACCATGAATTATGCCTTTCCTGTACGCTCTTGCACCACCACCCCTGTTTGGTTGGTTGAAAATTACGTTTTCTTCTGTTTCCTTTGACTTTTGTAGTGGGCTGAAGTAGGCTCTTCATGATATTATGTGTAGCAGGGAAAGGACTTCTGTGGGGGAGGTGCTGGAATGAAGACCAAATAGCTGGAACCAAAAGAGAGGATTGGAAAGCTGCAGGGTCTACAGTTGATTCTCCTATAAGAGTCAGCCTTTTTGTTTTCTGCCTTAAGCATTACTGTCAGAATTACTGGATTTGAACTGTGTGATGCAGACAGTGTTAGAGAATGATACCCTCTTCACTGACACTTGCCATTTTTCTTTCCTAGGATCTGAGAGTAGCAAGTTTCTGCCAAGTGTGTGATATTTGCCTGGTTTGGATATGGAGGAGGTGAAGGATTGTTATTTTCTGTGAAGTAGTTTAAACCTTTTTATAGCAGGTAGTTGTTAGCAAGATGTGTTTGGCAAAATTGAAGTGAGAACTAAAATGATGGCAGGAATTAAGATAGTCAAAAGTCTCTTGGTTTATACAG